GACTGGGATTCAAACCCAGGACTGTAGAGCTGCAGGGCTGAGGCTCTGAGTCACCAGGTGGGGTCTCCAGGAAGTCGGACAGAAGGGGTCCTGGAAGAGGATTTGCAGTTTGGTGGCGGTGGGGAGGCTCACATAGAAAACCTCCTGACGGCCCACCTTCTCTCCTCCTCTCCTCCTTGATGGCCAATTGTCCTGCTGCTTCTGTTCAGCCTGGACCTTTGACAAGCCAGGGCATGTCAGGAAGTTCACAGTTAGGTAAGGAGGACTGTCTGGTGTCCCCTGCCTCAGGAGAGGCTGCGGGAACGCTTGTCCCAGGGTTATGACCTCCAGGGAGTTGTCTGCAGTGTTTTACTGCCTCCCTGTACCCCTCCGGGCCCTCCTGTCCTCACTACACCCCACCACTCAGCGACTCCCCTCACCTACTCATTCACACCCAGAGCTCAGGCACTATGAACGGCTCAGCATGCGGCCTTCCAGAGTGCCCTGCCTCGCTCTGCATCACCAAGTCTAGAACCTCCCTGCCCCATGATAAAGCAAGTATTGAGCTCCTACTGCTTGCCAGGCACATTCACATCCAGCCACAACCAAGCTATGTGACCTTGGGCAGGTTCTGTAACCTACGTCTCTGTGCCTAGGTTTCCTCACCTGTGAAGAGTGAAAATAATGTTTATATTTGCAAAGCATCTACAAGAAGAGTACATGGCTTGTAGTGAGCTCTATTAATTTGAATTCATTAATTTAAACAAAGTTAAACATCTTTTTAACAACTTTGCAAGGTAAGAATCACCAGCTCCATTTCACTGTTTGGTAATCAGGGCTCTGAGAAAACTGCTTTCATCAGTTCATTCATGCAACAATTATTTATTGAGCACCTACTATGTCCCGGCCAGTGTTCCTACTTTGTGCACTTATCCTTCCTAATTCTGAGGAGGTGTTAGTTTCTCCTGACATTTCCAGCACCCTCTGGGGAGCAGCACTACCCTGGCTGAGACCGACCCCTGGCTGTTTGCTGTGTCCCCCCCAGCGCCCCCAGCAAGGTGTCACCGGGAGAGCTATCTGTATTTTGTCATACTGTATTTCAGCCTATCGCACAGATTAGGTGCTCAATAAATACCTGTTAAGAGAAGGAATAAAAGCTTGCAGATGAGGAAAGTGAAGTTTAGCAAAATGAAGTGATTTGCCCAACATCACACAGCTTGCTCAGTGGTAGAGCTGAAACTTGAACATTTGTCTGACGTGTTCTTACCGTGACACTGATTCTACCAATGTGGAGGCCCATTTGTAGGAGGAAGAAGAGGTCTGAGCTGGGATGCAGACTCCGGGCAGGCTGTGGATGCCTAGAGTGGCAGAGCTGGGGGCCAAGACACTGTAGCCTCCTTCATGGAGGGTCCTGGCCCCTCGTACCTCCAGCCTGCCCACCTGCCTTTCCCCTTGGGCCGCTGGCTGTCATGGTCAGGGAAGCAGGGCTCCCTTGTCAGCGCACCTGTCAAGAAGAGGGGTGGGCTGAGCTTCAGGAAGTCCAGACACAGAAGCTGCCATCCTCAGGCTCTGCTGGGAGTCCAGGGTGAGACGGAAGGGAGCAGAGGAGGAACAGCGTAGTATGAGTAGGACAGGCCAGGGCCTTGGTCCATCAGGGCCAGAGGTGACCTCAGAGGGCAAGTCCAATCCCGTTTTCCTACACACTTTCTGACTGTGGAAACTGAGGCTCAGAGAGGGTAGAAAGACAGAGCCCCACACATGCTAACTATGTACTGTATCTCCAGCCAGGCAGAGTGCCAGGCTCTTTCAACAGCATCTGTGGCCTCCTGGGAGACTGTGCGCACCTCCAAGGTCAGGGTCCTCAGGAACCTAGGAGAAAGCCTGCACGCAAGCCGGTGTTCAGAACCATGCTGGATACGTGAATGGAGGAGTTATTAAGTCTTCAGAGTAATCTGGTGAAGTAGGAATTAGTATGCCACTGAGGAAATTGAGCTCAGAAAGGAGGGAATTAACAACAGTATCAAATTCTGCTGAAAATAATCTCTGGATACCAGGGACCTTATCAAGAACACATGGGGTGGGCACCAGATCGCAGTGGGTGTGAGAGTGAGGGGAGGTGGAGAGGAGGCACTGCAAGTTGTAGGCAGCTCTTCAGGGTGAGGCTGAAAATATGAGACACAGAGAGAGAGAGAGAGAGAGAGAGAAAGGGAGAGAGCCAGAGGGAGACAGCGTTCTTCCCTGAAATACCATGGAGGTGAGGCAGGCTATTGCTTTATTTTGTTGAGTTAACATGGGGAAACCTGGATAGGCTTCAGGGCGAGTTGGGAGCCAGTAAGGACATTCTGGACATTCCCTGGAGAGATATTCTGGAGAGCCCTTTATCTGGAGGTTCAGAGGTGGTCCTTGAAGGTGGTGACTGAGCTGGGCACAAAGGTTCACTTCTTGGTAGAGATCTGTGCTGCCCTTGGGGCAGAAGAAGGGAATTACTGCTCGGTGAGATCTCGCTGTGGGCCAGGCAGGGCACTGGGCACTTCACTTACACCATCTCCTTTATGTAAGCCTCAAAGCACCCCTGGAGGAATGGAAATCCCAGCTCATTTCACAGTGGAGCAGTAGCTAACCCTGGGTCATGTGGCTTCTGCCAGTGCATTCATTCACTCATTCCACAGATGCCACTTCAGCACTCACTGGCCAGGCATTGCAGTAGATGGGGAGGTGGGGAGGAAGCAGGCAAGCTACAGAGCCCTCCCTGCCTTCCTTCAGCAGCCGCTTTTCCTCTTGAGCACCTGTTTCTTCACCTACACAGGGAAGCTGCTGCTCTCTAAAGACGACGAGAAAGAAGTGAGATAGCAGCGAACACGGTCGATGTGCCACCTCTATCACCCTGCCCACCCAGAGGAGCCTACAGGAAGTTCCTAAGAGCACGGGACTTCCTGCGTCTCTTGGCCCACCCCACACCTACCAGGGAGGCTGCAAGTGTGGCGAGTGGGTGTCCCGGGCGCAAGCCTGGCGTCAGCGGGTAAATGCCCAGGCTTCCTCACCCCTTAGGGGGACAGTTGTAGGGGGTGTTCCGCGGTCAGCCTGGGACCCCGGCAGATGAGCTTCAGCTGTGCCTGGGTTCACCTGCCCATTGACACATCCTTTGTTGGCTTCCCAACATCTCCTGAATAAACTTCCAGCGGCCAAACCCTTGCTCAGACTCTTCTGTGGGGCAAACCAAGCCTGGGACAGATGACTGAAACTTGGCACTCAGAAAATGTTTACCTCCATGCTCATTCTCACTTTTACAGAACCAGACATCTCTGAGAACACAGCCGAGGCTCCAGCTGAACCACCACCACCAGGCCTAGCAGTATCATCTGGGAGCGGGTGAGGGCTGGTGGCCTGGGGCAGCACGGAAACGGGGCCTGGGGCAGGGGAGTCACCACCAGAGGCCACAGGGCACTTCCTGTAGGCCGAGCCCCTCAGAAGCCAGGCTAATATCTACACAGCACTATATAGTTACAGTTATTTTCTCATGTTCCAGGTTCTGTGTTGGCGTATTCCATCCCATTGTTCCAAATCATATGCTCCAACTCAGGGCTCTATGTTCAACATACGAGGCCTCAAACCAACTTGCATGTTGTGGGCACCCCACCACCATCACCACCACCACCTTGCTCTTCTCCCTTTGGTCATCCTGGCCAGGGGGCACATTCCCTCATGTCTGGGCAGAGAAGCTGATACAGGCTCACTTGCCCTCCAAGCAGGCCCATGTGGCCACCACCCAGCCCATTGGGCCCACCAGGCCATGGTGCTGAGTCCCAAGATCTGGGATCTGGTCAAGCCTGTCACCCCACCCTGCTACAAGCTAGCGTGCGCCGTCAGCATCAAGAGCAAGGATCAGGACATATGCGGTGGTCTCTAGCCCAAGCCTGTGGGACCCACGTGCAGATAGCTTTGCCACCTCCCATGACGTGAAGTCCATGTGTGGCCCTGGTGCATGCCGTCTACTTGGAGTGAGCCCTGTGGGGTGAGGGGTCTAGGAACCTCAGGAGGGCCCCAGGCTAGAGCCTGCCACAGAAAACTCAGCCCTAGCCCATGAGTCAGTGGCCTGTGAAGGCGGCACCTTCCCAGGCCAGGCCAGCAGCTCCCACAGCTCATGGTCAAATTAAAGAAGGAAACGAGTATGATGCACCCACACTCACAGCTTCTCAGGCCGCCCAGGCCACACACACTGCTGTGTTCCTGTGCCTCTGGCTGGGGTTATGTCAGCCACACGCAGCTCCCAGCTGGCTGTACAGATCAGAAACTCTAGGGATAGCTAGCTATGTCTTTGATTAATAAAAAAAGGGAGATAAATTAGTAATGACATAACACATGCAATTTGGGATCAAAATCTTTGAAAGTATGGGAAAAATAATAAAAACGGGAGATCTTGATAGTAAAAAATTTGAGAACAAGTGCTGTCCTCAGAGGCCAGCCATGAGCTGGGCACTGCCAAGGCCACCAGGGGAAGGAGAGGAGGGGTGGGCTTCTCACACTCGCTCTATGCCACGTGCTGTGCTGGGCTTCACACGTTTCCTTCACTCTCACACAGTCCTGGGATATTACACTACCATCCCCACTTTATGGATGAGTCAACTGAGGCTCAGAGAGGCCAGGTTACTTGCCCTGGATATTTACAGAATCAGTAAGGAATTTGAACCTCGGTCTGCCTCACTTAAAAAGGAAAACAAACAAAATAAAGCAAAAAAAGGAAAAAAATTGTCCAAAACTGTGGTGTCTGGAAAGTCATTTGGGGTTGAGTTTACCAGGAACGGAAGAGGGACAAATGGAACAGCATGTAAGTTATGAGTGCTGACATTTTTTTATACTATTTACTGCTATCTACAGACCAGGGCACACAGCAGGCGCTCACAACAGTTTCAAGTGAAAGACTGCAAAGACTGAGGCACAGAAGGGTGAGCCTAGCCTGCATTGGGGAAGAGGGAGTGAATGTTTTTAAGCCTCTAGTTTCTGAAGCACACTGACAAAGCATGTTTAATCTTTCAAAAACATTTTTAATTATGGAACTATTTTGAACACAGAAAATTAAGAATGCAGTAAGGCAGACATCAGTTGAACCCATTGCCCAGATTCAGAAGTTCATATTTTGCCATATTCATTTAAAATGTTTTTATAATAAAGTGATACAGAAAGAAAAAAAAAGTTCCCCACATCATCCCATCCCCAGAGGTCACCACTTTCTTGAGGTTGGTGTATGTCCTCTCAGCGCATCTGGCATTATTTTGTGTTTTTAAACTTTCCAAATATTGGTCTCTGACTGTACCTTTCCGTTTACAATTTGATTTTCACTCAATTATTATGTTTTTTGGATTTAGTCTATGTTGATACATGTAGATCTAGTTCATTCATTTTAACTGCTGTATAGTATTCCACAGTGTGAATAGAGAACAATTTCTATATTCTCTGGTTGATGGACATATATACAGTTTTTATTCTTTGCTATTTCAAGCTGCACAGCAATGAAAATCTTTGTATCTCTCTCCTGGTAAACTCATGTGTCACGCATAACCTTTGTAACAATTGTAGCATATTGGAATTTATGTACCCCTACATGACCTTGTAGAATTGCTTCATGTTTCAGAAATATAGTGCCCTTATCAGTAAACTGGGGTAATAAAACAGTATGCACTTAGGTGACAGGTGGGTGCTTCAGTGTAAATGAAAAGCATTTTGCAGCCTGTGAAGTACACTGTGAATATCAGTTGTTTATATGCAGGTGCTTGACGTTCAGGATGTACTGAGCACCCTCCTGTGCTGGGGACTCAATAAACAGACCCCAGTATGGTACTCGATGTGCTCACACACATCAGAGAGTCTGAGAAGGGCAGCAACAGAGGAACGCACAGGAATCTGCTCACTAATCTAGCCTGGAGCGGCAGAGGCAGACAAGGCTACCGACAGGAAATGACACTGAGCTAAGTCTTCAAAGGATGCGAGGCAAAGGCAAGTGGAAGATGGAAGGGTGGAAGGACGGCCCAGGCAGAGGGAGGAGCAGGCCTGAAGGGCCTGAGCGACACAAGAGAACACCTGGAACGTCAGGGCTGGGGGCGAAGGGGCCGTAACCGAAAATAAGTCTGCAGGGGTAAGGGGCACCGAGAGGCTGTATTTGAGGACAACAGGGAGCCACTGAAGGATTGTATGCAAGGGAGTGACAGGCTCAGACTTGCATGTTAGAAAAAGCAGTCTGAATAAACTCGAGATCTGCTGTACAACACTGTACCCACAGGAAACAATAATGTATTTTACACTTAAAACTTTAAGAGGGTAGATCTCGTTAAGTTCTTACTGCAATTAAAAAAATGGTTTGGCTGCTGTACAGAGTAGGGTGTGGGGGGAAAGGCCGGAGGCTGGGAGGGGGGTGGTGCAGGCCGACCCCGGTGAGGTGAGGGCTGGACTGCAGCAGCTGTCATTTTGGTCACTGTCACCCTGACAGCACACCTCCCCTGATATGCAGCGGGCGCATCATCAGGAAGGCTGAGAGCAATGGGCCAGGTGACAGGAACCTCCCTGCCAACTCAGAGGTCTGTCTTCACGCATCCCAACTGGCCCTCTTCTTGGGCTCGGTCACCTTCGAGGCACAGCACCCAGCCACGAGCTCCCAAGTTTCTGGACAATATGAGCCCTTTTGGTGTCCTGGAACCAAGGGCATGGCTGGGTCCTCACCAGTGTCCCAAAGGAGACCCTGTCAGTATCCAGACTCCATGGGTCCCACATGGAGTGAGAAGGGGAGGGACATTCTAGGGCAAGATGAGCTGTTGGTGATCACTGAGTGGTCTTATTGAATACCTAAACATGAAATAGCTAAAACAGAACAAAGACAGACATCCAAGAATGCCCCCACTCTGTACCCCATCACTAGGCACCCCCAGCAGTACGAGTGTGAGCACTGCCTTGGAAGGCCTCCTTCCCCTTGGCTGGGCTAAAAGCCCTTGCCATCCACGCTCCTCACACTCTGTGCTTTCCTTTTTAGAACATTCAACCCTTTTAGGACCACAAGTTTGACTGCAGCCCTCCCTGCCGGGCTATGTGCTCCCTGACGGAGTTTACCAGCACCGTGTCTGCTTTGTTCACTGCTGATTCCTTGGTGCCGGGAACGGAGTCCGGCTCATAGCAGGACCTCAGGGAACACTGGTGAACAGAATCAACAGGACACACTGAGGGAGAGGAAGAGTGGGGGAAGGTGCCCAGATGTCACAGGCCCTGAGAGAGGAAAAGTGTCTTGCTTAAGTCACAGGTGAGGCGAAGGAGTCACACGGCCTGCCTGGGGCCTCTGACACTCAGTGCAGGGCCTTCCCTCTTGTGACACTATGCTTAAAAGAGGCTGTGCAACAGGTCAGCATTTCCAAAAGCGCAGTCTATGGTATGCTGGCTCCAAGATTTTAGTGCATAGAAAAGTTCTGTAAATAAGTTTGGGAAACTCTGGGTTAAATCAAATGAAAAAGGCTGTTTTTTTTTTTTTAAGCCTTTACCATGCCCATATGCATACGATTCTTGGTGAAGGTCACAGGCAATATTCCCCACATCTATGGGACCATGGAATTCTGCCCGGGGACATGGTATGAAACCTTTGGCACCATCCCCCAGCTGCCTGTCATGATTATTTATTGAAGCACAGTATGGAGATTTGTTGCAACTTTTTGGGTGGTGCAAAAAAACCATTTTGCAAATGAAAATGGCTCCAAGCCCCAATATATAAATGGAATAAAAATAGAGCTTCTCTGGTTGAAGGGAGCCCTGGAAATCCATCTGGCCACCTCTTTACTGCTGCCATGCCAGTAACCCTCAAGTCCTGTGGAGCCATTTGAAAACAACTGGTACAGAACTCAGCACAGGGGTTCTGGCACTGGCCCTGCTATGCGGGGCACTTGCCCACTTGGGCAAGTCACTCAATGTCACAGGGCCTTGGTTTCCCCATTTATATGAGTCTGTTAGCCTGGATGCTTTCTGGAGGCCTTAATTTTAATCTCTGATATGATGAGGCCGATGATTCTATGCTGTAAAACTCTAACTTTAAGATTCTATGGTTCTTTGATTCTGAGATTCCATGACTTGATATTCTGATTCTGAGAGTGCTTGTAGCCAGCCTGAGCTGATATGGCACACGGGGGCCCAGGCTGTGAAAAGCAGAATTCATTAACTGCAGCGTGCTGCCCAGGAGTGCAGGGTTCCATGGGGAAGGTATGCCCCACGTAGGATGGAAGGGGCGGGGGGAAACGGGAGTCGGGTGTGGATGGAGTCAGCAGCCGCTCAGTTGGCAGAGCAGGGAGAAGGACCCAGGTCTCCTGACTCCTGCTCTATCTTTAGATCTCCATAGCAACTGTCACCAGGGTGCCTGAGCTGAAGGCAGGGCTGAGCTGGCTGCCTGCAGGAGGCAGGGGCGTTTGCTTCCATGCCTCTTTTGTTGAGGAAAGGACTCTAGGCCAGCCTCTGAAGCCAGGGATGGGAGACTGAGAGTAAAGCCTTCCAGAAGAGGAAAGGCTGGGGGACCAATACAAAATAAAGATAATCCAGGACCCCACCTCCCTCTGAGAACCTAAGACCGTGTGTGTCAGGTTCGTGGCACTGGAGGTACATAAGGCAAGTTCCTCCTCCAAAGATCTCTGAGCTGCCCCCTTGGTCATTTCCTAATCATTAACAAGCACCTCATCAGAGCCAGCACTGAGGCCATAGGAGAGACACACAGTTTCCAGGGAAAACAGGCTTTGGCATAGGCATTACACAGCAGGGCCCAGAGGGAGGCTCTGGCCCCCCTCCCCACAACCCTCTCACCTGAAGAACCAGGGGAGCTCCTCCCGCCCTTCCTTCTGTGAACACCTATAGCCCTAGCACTCAGCATGGATCCAGCTTCCTCTAGGGCGTCCTCCCTGACTCCAGGCTGGTTACTCTCCTCCCAGGGGCTCACAGCAGTATGCCTGTCTGAGGGAGTCAGTAATCTCACGGGGTAGATGAGAAATGGAGGCATGCATGGTAAAGACATTCACCAGAGTCACTGAAATGTCAGCAGTGCTGCTAGGCCTGGACTCCATGTCTTCTGATTCCAGCCTGTGCTTCTTCTCATGTCACAGAGGCAGGCCCCTGGCCTGGATTTTGGGAAGGAGGCCAGCGTTAGAAGAGGAAGTAGGAGTCCTCTATATGCAGCGGGCGCATCATCAGGAAGGCTGAGAGCAATGGGCCAGGTGACAGGAACCTCCCTGCCAACTCAGAGGTCTGTCTTCACGCATCCCAACTGGCCCTCTTCTTGGGCTCGGTCACCTTCGAGGCACAGCACCCAGCCATGAGCTCCCAAGTTTCTGGACAATATGAGCCCTTTTGGTGTCCTGGAACCAAGGGCATGGCTGGGTCCTCACCAGTGTCCCAAAGGAGACCCTGTCAGTATCCAGACTCCATGGGTCCCACATGGAGTGAGAAGGGGAGGGACATTCTAGGGCAAGATGAGCTGTTGGTGATCACTGAGTGGTCTTATTGAATACCTAAACATGAAATAGCTAAAACAGAACAAAGACAGACATCCAAGAATGCCCCCACTCTGTACCCCATCACTAGGCACCCCCAGCAGTACGAGTGTGAGCACTGCCTTGGAAGGCCTCCTTCCCCTTGGCTGGGCTAAAAGCCCTTGCCATCCACGCTCCTCACACTCTGTGCTTTCCTTTTTAGAACATTCAACCCTTTTAGGACCACAAGTTTGACTGCAGCCCTCCCTGCCGGGCTATGTGCTCCCTGACGGAGTTTACCAGCACCGTGTCTGCTTTGTTCACTGCTGATTCCTTGGTGCTGGGAACGGAGTCCGGCTCATAGCAGGACCTCAGGGAACACTGGTGAACAGAATCAACAGGACACACTGAGGGAGAGGAAGAGTGGGGGAAGGTGCCCAGATGTCACAGGCCCTGAGAGAGGAAAAGTGTCTTGCTTAAGTCACAGGTGAGGCGAAGGAGTCACACGGCCTGCCTGGGGCCTCTGACACTCAGTGCAGGGCCTTCCCTCTTGTGACACTATGCTTAAAAGAGGCTGTGCAACAGGTCAGCATTTCCAAAAGCGCAGTCTATGGTATGCTGGCTCCAAGATTTTAGTGCATAGAAAAGTTCTGTAAATAAGTTTGGGAAACTCTGGGTTAAATCAAATGAAAAAGGCTGTTTTTTTTTTTTTAAGCCTTTACCATGCCCATATGCATACGATTCTTGGTGAAGGTCACAGGCAATATTCCCCACATCTATGGGACCATGGAATTCTGCCCGGGGACATGGTATGAAACCTTTGGCACCATCCCCCAGCTGCCTGTCATGATTATTTATTGAAGCACAGTATGGAGATTTGTTGCAACTTTTTGGGTGGTGCAAAAAAACCATTTTGCAAATGAAAATGGCTCCAAGCCCCAATATATAAATGGAATAAAAATAGAGCTTCTCTGGTTGAAGGGAGCCCTGGAAATCCATCTGGCCACCTCTTTACTGCTGCCATGCCAGTAACCCTCAAGTCCTGTGGAGCCATTTGAAAACAACTGGTACAGAACTCAGCACAGGGGTTCTGGCACTGGCCCTGCTATGCGGGGCACTTGCCCACTTGGGCAAGTCACTCAATGTCACAGGGCCTTGGTTTCCCCATTTATATGAGTCTGTTAGCCTGGATGCTTTCTGGAGGCCTTAATTTTAATCTCTGATATGATGAGGCCGATGATTCTATGCTGTAAAACTCTAACTTTAAGATTCTATGGTTCTTTGATTCTGAGATTCCATGACTTGATATTCTGATTCTGGGAGTGCTTGTAGCCAGCCTGAGCTGATATGGCACACGGGGGCCCAGGCTGTGAAAAGCAGAATTCATTAACTGCAGCGTGCTGCCCAGGAGTGCAGGGTTCCATGGGGAAGGTATGCCCCACGTAGGATGGAAGGGGCGGGGGGAAACGGGAGTCGGGTGTGGATGGAGTCAGCAGCCGCTCAGTTGGCAGAGCAGGGAGAAGGACCCAGGTCTCCTGACTCCTGCTCTATCTTTAGATCTCCATAGCAACTGTCACCAGGGTGCCTGAGCTGAAGGCAGGGCTGAGCTGGCTGCCTGCAGGAGGCAGGGGCGTTTGCTTCCATGCCTCTTTTGTTGAGGAAAGGACTCTAGGCCAGCCTCTGAAGCCAGGGATGGGAGACTGAGAGTAAAGCCTTCCAGAAGAGGAAAGGCTGGGGGACCAATACAAAATAAAGATAATCCAGGACCCCACCTCCCTCTGAGAACCTAAGACCGTGTGTGTCAGGTTCGTGGCACTGGAGGTACATAAGGCAAGTTCCTCCTCCAAAGATCTCTGAGCTGCCCCCTTGGTCATTTCCTAATCATTAACAAGCACCTCATCAGAGCCAGCACTGAGGCCATAGGAGAGACACACAGTTTCCAGGGAAAACAGGCTTTGGCATAGGCATTACACAGCAGGGCCCAGAGGGAGGCTCTGGCCCCCCTCCCCACAACCCTCTCACCTGAAGAACCAGGGGAGCTCCTCCCGCCCTTCCTTCTGTGAACACCTATAGCCCTAGCACTCAGCATGGATCCAGCTTCCTCTAGGGCGTCCTCCCTGACTCCAGGCTGGTTACTCTCCTCCCAGGGGCTCACAGCAGTATGCCTGTCTGAGGGAGTCAGTAATCTCACGGGGTAGATGAGAAATGGAGGCATGCATGGTAAAGACATTCACCAGAGTCACTGAAATGTCAGCAGTGCTGCTAGGCCTGGACTCCATGTCTTCTGATTCCAGCCTGTGCTTCTTCTCATGTCACAGAGGCAGGCCCCTGGCCTGGATTTTGGGAAGGAGGCCAGCGTTAGAAGAGGAAGTAGGAGTCCTCCGTCACACCTGCACATAGCAAGCACCTGGCCATGTCCTTGGTAAACTCAGCTGAGCCACAGACCAATGCAAATGGTTTTCTCCGGCAGGAGCTGACCAGCTCTTCAATCAGGTTCTGGGCCAGGTGGCCAAAATGGGTTTTCTCCCGGTAACTCCAGGGAAGCTGCTCTGGGAAGTTCTCCTGGGACAAAGAGAAATAAATAGTGGAGAGGGATTAAAGATGGCGGTGTGAGAGGTGAGACAGAAACCTCCTCCCTAAACCTCATATAATTAAAAAATATAGCAAATACAACTAATCCTGAAAGAGCAACAGGAAAGAAGACTGCACCAGACTGTCTACACCTGGGGAAAAGATCAGATCTCACTGGAAAGGGTAGAGTATCAAAGCCACAATCCAGCATGACCCAAGCCCTTCCCTCACCCCAGCTCACTGGCAGGAGGAAGAGAAACAGAGCAGGGTGGGGGTGGAGGCCTAGGACTGCTGAACATCCAGCCCTGGAGATCTGCTCTGGGAGCACGAACCTACATTACATGGTGCTCTGGAGATTTGTGGGGTTGGAAAGCTAAGACAGGCGGTAAACTTGGAAAGACTGAAATTCCAGTCACTTGTGGAGAAAAGATACCCACAACTGGCTGGTCTGGGACAAAAGGTGGGCACTCTGAGAGACTTCCCAACAGCTAGAGGGCTGCTAAAGGGACAAGGATTGCACAGAGTTTGCTGCTCAGGAGAAAGGACAGTGGACAAAATTGTCCAGGTGCACTCAGTGCAGCTTGTTCCCAGGATAGGAACTTTCAGGAGCTTCAGGCACTCCATCTCCCTGTCTGGCAGTGCAGCTCCAAGGCCCCCCACCATGATATACAGCTTGCCGCTCCTTCCTCCCGGCCGGCATCAGTTCGCAAACTGGCTGCCCCCACCATTGCGCCAGGCCACCCAGAGGGCGGCCCCACCTATGACAGCTACAGGGGCGTAGCATAGAGACTCCTCCTTGCATGCTCAGCCCTCTGGCCCGGGCAGTGGAGGCAAGCACTGTAGCCAGCCAGGAAGCAGGAAAGAGCTCTTTTCTCCCTGACAGGCACCAGCGCCGCTTGCCTGCAACCCCCTACATTGCTCCAGGGGCTGAGCAGTTCCAGAGAGTAGAGCTTCTGGGCACTAGAGGGCACCACCTTTGCCAAGTTATTTCTAGAAATATGAAATAGCAAAAGAACCTAGAACAAACCAAAACCCACAATCACCAGAAAGAGGGCCAAGTGAAACTGAAATTCCTAATATTCCTGAAAAAGACTTCAAAAAGACATCACGGAGCTATAGAACTTAGAGAACAGGAACACAAAGAAGCTGAGGCAAAGAGAGAAAAAGGATCTCTAGGAGTGAAAGAGTATTAAGAGAACTGTGTGAACAATCCAAACAGAACAATATTTGCATATAGGGGTATGAGAAGAAGAGAGAGAAAAAAGGATAGAAAGTGTCTTTGAGGAGGTGATTGCTGGAAACATCCCCAATTGGGGGAAGGATATATTCTCTCAGGCCATGGAGGTGCACAGACCTCCCAACACAAGGGATAAGGAAGACCACACCAATTTTATTATTTACTAATAATTAAAATGGCAAAGATCAATGATAAGGAAAGAGTATTAAAAGCAGCCAGAGAGAAAAAAGATCACATACAAAGGAAAACCCATCAGGCTGTCATCAGACTTCTCAATAGAAACCTTACAGGCCAGAGGGAGTGGCATGATATATTTAATGTAATGAAACAGAAGAGCCTTGAACCAAGAATACTCAACCCAGCAAAATTATCATTTAAATTTGAAGGAGGGATTAAATAATTTCTAGATAAGCTAAAGTTGAGAGTATTTACCTCCCCAAAACCATCATCTCTACAGTGTATGAAGGGGCTCTTATAGATGGAAGTGTTCCTAAGGCTAAAGGACTGTTACCACAGAAAATAAAACCACAATAAAGGAAGTAGACTAATTAATTACTAAGCAAATGCAAAATTAAATCAACTATCCCCAAAGTCAGTCAAGGGATACAGAAAGGGTACAGAATATAATGCCTAATATATAAAGAATGGAGGAGGAAGAAAAAGGAGGGAAAAAAAAGAATCTTTAGACTGTGTTTGTAATAGCATACTAATTAAGTTAAGTTAGACTGTTAGATAGTAAAGAAGCTACTCTTGAACCCTTGGTAACCACGAATCTAAAGCATGCAATGGCAAGAAGTACATATCTATCTATAATCACCCTAAATGTAAATGGTCTGAATGCACCAATCAAAAGACATAGAGTTATGAATGGATAAAAAAAAACAAGACCCGTCTATATGCTGCCTACAAGGGACTCACTTCAAACCCAAAGACATGCAAAGACTAAAAGTGAAGGGATGGAAAAAGGTATTTCATGCAACTAGTAGGGAGAAAAAAGCAGGAGCTGCAGTACTTGTATCAGATAAAATAGACTTCAAAACAAAGAAAGTAACAAGAGACAAAGAAGGACATTGCATAATGATACAGGAGTCAGTCCAACAAGAGGATATAACCATTATAAATATCTATGCATCCAACATAGGAACACCTACATATGTGAAACAAATACTAACAGAATTAAAGGGGGAAATAGAATGCAATGCATTCATTTTAGGGGACTTCAACCCACCACTCCAAAGGACAGATCAAACAGATAGAAAATAAGTAAGAAGACAGAGGCACTGAACAATACATTAGAACAGATGGAACTAACAGACATCTACAGAACACTCTGCCCCAAAGCAGCAGGATACACATTATTCTCAAGTGTACATGGAACATTTTCAAGAACAGATCATATACTAGGCCACAAAAAGGATTGAAATTGTACCAACCAGCTTCTCAGACCACAAAGGTATGAAACTAGAAATAAATTATACAAAGAAAAAAAAAATCACACAAACACATGGAGGCTTAACAACATGCTGCTAAATAATCAATGGATCAATGACCAAATAAAAACAGAAATGAAGCAATATATGGATACGAATGACAATAATAACACTGCAAAAATCTGTGGGACACAGCGAAGGCCATGCAAAGAAGGAAGTATATTGCAATACAGGCTTACCTCAGGAAAGAAGAACAACCCCACATGATCAGTCTAAACTCACAATTAATGAAACTAGAAAAAGAAGAACAAATGAGGCCCAAAGTCAATACAAGGAGGGACATAATAAAGATCAAAGCATAAATAAATAAAATTAAGAAGAATAAAACAATAGAAAGAATCAATGAAACCAGGAGCTGGTTCTTTGAGAAAATAAACAAAGTAGCCAGACTTACCAAGACAAAAAGAGAGTCTATACACATAAACAGAATCAGCAATGAGAAAGGAAAAGTCATAATGGACACCACAGAAATACAAAGAATTATTAGAGAACACTATGAAAAACTATATGCTAACAAATTGGCTAACGTAGAAGAAATGGACAACTTTCTAGAAAAATACAACCTTCCAAGGCTGACCCAGGAAGAAGCAGAATATCTGAACAGACCAATTACCAGCAATGAAATTGAATTGGTAATCAAAAAACTACCCAAGAACAAAAACCATGGACCAGACAGCTTCACTGCTGAATTTTACCAAACATTTAGTGATGACTTAATATGCATTCTTCTTAAAGTTTTCCAAAACGTAGAAGAGGAGGGAATACTTCCAAACTCATTCTATGAGGCCAGCATCACTCTAATATCAAAACCAGGCAAAGACACCACAAAAAAGAAAAACTACAGACTGATTTCCCTGATGAACATAGATGCAAAAATACTCAACAAAATATTAGCTAACCGAATTCAAAAATACATCAAAAAGATCATCCATCATGATCAAGTAGGATTTATTCCAGGGATGCAAGGATGGTACAATATTTGAAAATCCATCGACCTCATAGACCACATCAACAAAAAGAAGGATAAAAATCATATGATCATTTCCATAGATGCTGAAAAAGCACTTGGCAAAATTCAACATCCATTCTGTTAAAAAGTCTCAACAAAATGAGAATAGTGGGCAAGTATCCCAACATAATAAAGGCCATATATGACAGACACACAGCCAACATTATACTTAACAGCGAAAGGCTGAAAGCTTTTCCTTTAAGATCGGCAACAAGACAAGGAGTCCACTCTCCATACTTTTATTCAGCATAGTATTGGAGGTCCTAGCCATGGCAATTTGACAATACAAAGAAATAAAGGCATCCGGATTGGCAAGGAAGAAGTCAAACTGTCACTGTTTGCAGTTGACATGATATTGTACATAAAAAGCCCTAAAGAATCCACCCCAAAACTACTAGAACTAATATCTGAATTCAGCAAAGTTGCAGGATATAAAATTAATACACAGAAATCGGTTGAATTCCTATACACTACCGATGAACTAGCAGAAAGAGAAATCAGGAAAACAATTCCATTCACAGTTGCATCCAAAAGAATAAAATACCTAGGAATAAACCTAACCAAGGAGGTGAAAGATTATACCATTAAAACTACAAGACACTCATGAGAGAAATTAAAGACGATACCAATAAATGGAAATACATCTCATGCTCATGGATAGGAGGAATTAATATTGTCAAAATGGCCATCCTGCCTAAAGCAATCTACAGATTCAATGCAATCCCTATCAAAATACCAACAGCGTTCTTCAACGAACTAGAACAAATAGTTCTAAAATCCATATGTAACCACAAAAGACCACAAATAGCCAAAGCAATCCTGAGAAGGAAGAATAAAGCAGGGGAAATTATGCTCCCCAACTTCAAGCTCTACTACAAAGCCACAGTAATCAAGACGATTTGGTATTGGCACAAGAACAGACCCATAGACCGATGGGACAGACTAGAGAGCCAAGATATAAACCCAAGCATATATGGTCAATTAATATACAATAAAGGAGCCATGGACTTACAATGGGGAAGTGACAGCCTCTTCAACAACTGTATTGTCAAAACTGGACAGCCACATGCAAGAGAATAAAATTGGATTATTTTCTAATCCCATACACAAAAGTAAACTCAAAATGGATCAAAGACCTGAATGTAAGTCATGAAACCATAAAACTTTTAGAAGAAAACATAGGCAAAAATTGATTGAATATAAACACCAGCAACTTTTTCCTGAACATATTTCCTCAGGAAGAGATACAAAATAA